TCAAGAAAGCCTGAAAAGAAAGCAGACAGAGTTGGGGCTGAGCCCTGGGTGGAGTCGGAGAAGACGGAGAGAGGTTTAGAGCAGGGGATGATGAGTCCAGAACAGGAACTTGCCTACAGCGAGGAGACACAGCATCATGAAGCAGGTGCATACAGAGAGCATGATGGAAGCAAGGCAGGACAGAGATGGGTGGTTTTCTCCAAGTCTTTTCCTGCCCCTAACTGTCGCTTTCCTGTGACGTGATCACCTAGTAGACTTCAACAATATTTGGTTTCCTGCTCTTGTACAAGTATAAAAGTAGAGTATACGAATCAGTCATATTCAGTCTCTAGGAAACAAGCTATACAGGACCGTGATTCTGCTAAGCAAGTTTAACAAGGGCAGTGTCTATCCACAGGAAGGGGAGAAATAAGAATGTGGCAAATTCAGAGTTGAGGAGACAGAGGTTAAAGATTATAGGGGGGCAGAGTAGATCTAGAATTTATGAGGAAGACTCCAGAGAAAAGGAAGCTACTCAGAGGATTCCAGATATCTTCATAAGGATCTCCTATGTCTGTCCCTACACACTCCCTTCTGTGTAGGATGAAATGTAATAGAAATTGGAGCAGACTCTCTAGTACGCTCAGAAAGCTCATGGTGGGGCTGGGGATTTAGCTCAGCGGCAAAGCGCCTTCCTGGCAAGCGCAAGGTCGTGAGTTCGGTTCCCGATACAGGAGAAAAACCAAAACCAAAAAAAAAAAAAGAAAGCTCATGGTTTAGGAGTGGAACAAAACTAGGCTAGAGCAGGAGCAGACAACCCCAGGCCATAGCCTGACCAGCTGTTTCTGGGAACAGTTTTGTAGGGAAGGGAAGCGATTCTGGAATGACAGCCTCAGGAGCTGTGGATATTCTCTTCCCAGAGAAAAAAACACAACTGATGAAAATTTTAAAACTGCTGAAAGCCTCTGAGAATTGCACTAAGTTCATACAATAATGGAGTAATATTTAATTAAGAAAATCTAAATTGCAGTGAAAACAGTGAAAGTCAGTGAGATTTGAGCCAGAAGCTCAGGGTGACAGAAACTTCACCCTAGACAGTGTGGTCAAGAAAATGGGGTCCATCTTACCCAGCTTCCAGTCCAGAGCTGCAGTTTTGCTCTACCCTTTGTTTCAAACTCCGTTTCCTGCTCTGGACATAAATTGTATTTTGGTCCCAGTTTCACTACAAACAAGGTGCATGTAAAAGGACAAGTGACCTGTCTGCAACTCAGTTTCCACATCTGTAGAATGGAGGAGATTATAATTGTGCTTGTTAATCGGGAGGCTGTAAAACCTATGTGAGGTCTAAATGTAAGGAATAACACTTGATGCCTAGTGTGTAATAAGTGCTTAATAAGTGTTAGTTATCATTATCATCATTAATATAATTAAAGAAAACAGTTCATGAAAGCTCTTTCATAATAGGCCTTATAGTTTTCTAAAATTTCCTTTCTTCATGAGATGTGAAGATATTATATGCTTAGATAAGCTTATCACTTTTTGTATTTGTTACTTTAATACAAAGTCCCATTCTCTCTGAGGGATTTTTTTGGTTTTGGTAGCAGTGGGAATTAAACCCAAGGCTTTCCCACTGAGCTATAGAGCTATCCCTTTTTAAATTTTTTTAAATTTTGAGGTAGGGGCTTGCTAAGTCATTAAGTTGTTCAGGCTGAGTTTAAACTTTTGATCTTCCTTCCAAGGCTTCCACAATGCTGAAATTAAATTAATGATATTAGAAAAAGATACATGTAAAGATGTCTGAGGTAACAGTACTATAAAGGAACTTATCCATAGTAAGGCAGAACATTAGTTGTCCGTAGTCTGATACATCAAAGTTCTTAATTCAATTTCTGCTTGCTATGCTTTGGAATTCAGGCAGTTTGCCCATTGAGAATTTGATGTGCATGGCAGCTGCTACTTTCAGATGTAACTGAGAGATTAAAAAGTGGAAAAATAAATTTATAATTTGATTACTTATTATGATCTTCAATTACATAACACAACAAAAGAGAAAACATTCATTATGAGTTCCCTAGTTATAATTTTGAATGAAAACTCACGTCCAAGATGTGATTCAGTTTCAAAAATCAATTCCTCTTTGTGCTTGTTATTCTAAGAAAAATAATGAACAGATTAGAGTTGGGATATGCATCAGTGGTATCTATGACAAACAGAACTAATCTGTTTATATTACATATCCATAAAAAAACACTACTGATTTATGATAATTTGGGACCTTGACAATTAGAAGAAGAAATGGGATTTGCATGGTTGGTTTGGAAAAATTAAAATCTAAGCCAATTTGTAATCTTTTCCATTACTGCTTTGTCTGATATACATAAAAAATGGATTCAATGATGGTTAGAGTTGCTAAGCACAATCAGATGAAGGGTACTAACAATTATGATTAGGGAGCATTTCAGGATTGTTTACAAAAACCTGACCAAAACCAGGGAGGAATATAGGAATCCAGGTGTTAAAAATAAAAGACAGTTGCTCTCTCAAAGTGAATGCATTATATTTGTAAGCCCCACTAATAATTACTAGGCAATTGATGCAATTAAAAATGACCTCAAAACATTCTTGACTGGCTGACACACAGCTATATATGGTGCCACCATACTCTTTGCATTAAAAATCAGACTCTGAGTACACAGGAAAGTTAATTTTAATCCCTGATCTGACTATTCCACACGCAAAAAAATTTTGAAAAGCATTTGGGAATTCACATAAGCTGGACAAATGTAACCTAAGGCTATCACTGCCACATATGTTTAAGAATGACTTCAAACTGATATCTCCAAATGGATACTCTCGTACCCTACAAATATTCTTGAGCTTTACTCCTGTATTTGATTCAGTTACTTGAAAACAGTGGTTTTTTTCATTCTTGGTTTTAAACTGTGCTAGATGAAGTAAGACAAGAAAAATGAGTGGACTTATAATCTGCTTCTAAGCCACACCTCTTAGAGAACTGTAGTGATTGTCCACACATTTTAAAAAATGTCTTTCTTTTTTCTAGAAGGAAAAGCATTTCTCCTGCTCCTTTGTGAGCTCTGGATATTGTTTCCTCTGTTGAGTTGAATAGTTCTTTCTCCAATCTCAAGTACTTTCTTCCTGACACATGTACTGAATCAAACATAGCCAAAGAGTGAAGGGAGCCCTTTCTCAAGATGCCCAGAATTCTCTCGCTGCAGCAATCACCTTTCCAGTTCTTTGTCATAAGAATTTAGCTACTTTGACCTCCTTTTATGTCTGGCTTTAAAACAGTAAGATCACCAATACCTGGTTATCCCTCTATAGCTCACAGCCTGGAACTCCCTCCAGGTACTAGGGTGTGTGGTCTGGTGCTTAGCTCAGTTGTTCTGCATCCCTGAGGGATCCCTGTCTTTTGTTTTCTGGTGTCCAATTCTGACCACTGTTGTTTCACATATTTTGTCTCTCTCTTTCTAAATGTTTTTCTGAGCGGGAGGCTAAATCTGATTGATTTACTTTATCTTTTTTGAACTATAATTTCACTCCAGAATCACAAATAATTTCTTATTGTTGGGGTCCCCCAGAATTTCAGTGGTTATGGACCTTTGATCAGGTTCTGAGCATGTGGTTTCCATTCCTCACAAAGGGTATAAAATTTTATTTGATACACATCCGAGGAACAGCTTGAAGCTTCCACTTCTCTCTGCTAATTTATCCCTTTCTTTGATCCAAAGACCCAATCAAACATCCAATATCTGTTGTAATACTTTTAGTCTAAAAAGAATGGGTATATTTTGGAGCTCCAGGATCAATGCAACAGATGTAACTCTAGCTCCTTTGTGTAGCCTCTTTAATACAGGCATTAAACCCTCAGCTCCAGCAGTGAGGCTCGTATCAGGTCTGAAGTTATGTAGGTCATTGTGATTTTAACTTTCCCCATGACTCTGCCTCTAAACTGCCTCTTTTTATTCATAGTGAATTTCTCCATCACTCTCTCTCTCTCTGGATTATCCATATGTTGTTTTGGTTTAAATTTTTGTTAGTGAGAAGTGTTTCAAATTTATAAAAAAATGAATGAATTAAGACAAGCTAATCATCTCTTTTCTGCTCATCCTGTGTTCCTTTTCCTTCTAGATAATTAGCAGTATATTTCACAAATTTCTCCTTTTTTACACAAACATACAAAAATATATATGAACTTGAGTTGGAACTTTTATTACTTTTCATAATGCATTCATTCATAAATACTCTCATTAATTGCATTAGCTTGAAAATTATTTCCCCTTAATAGTTTATCTTCTTTTTTACTGTTTTTTTTTTTTCTGAGATAAGGTCTTGCTATATACTCCCAGTTGCACTTAAACTCACGATGTAGCCCACGCTGGCCTCGAATTCATAGAGCTCCTCCTGCCTCAGCTTCCCTAGTGCTAGACCACCATGGCTGGCAATAGTTTGTCTTGACTATCCTTACAAGTGAATAAATAAATATGGCTTTTTTTCTTTCCTTTTGCTTCTTTGTGCATAAGAAGGGAAACATAGTCTATGGCCATACCACCCTGAACATGCTCAGTCTCGTCTGATCTTGGAAGTTAAGCAGGGTCGGGCCTGGTTAGTACTTTGGATGGAAGAAGGGAAACATACACATAAATGAGATAGAATCATACATTCTGTGTGCATAATTTTAAATATTTTTATAACTATCAAAAGTTTAACTGTAGCTGATGGATGCAAGCAACAGATTCATTTAAAAACAGTCAATTCTTTTAAAGTATGTTATTTCTTATGCACAGTTAGCTTTATAGACCTGAAGACATGCTCCACAGCTATAATACTGCTTGACAAAGGCAAAGGACATTTTACCCTCATTGTGCCATGTGGAAGAGCACTGGGTAGGAACCATTATCTTCCAGGTAAGAAACATACAGGGGAAATGTGATACAATTGAGAGCATGTACTAGAATTTCACAATTTTCGGAGACCATGGAGTCTAAGGATGATAAAGCCGGAGTTAAGTGTATACTGCAGTGACACACAGAGCCTTTTACAGAAGGTACCATTAGTGTTCTGATGGAAGGAAGCGTTGCTGCAGAAGTAGTAACAGAGACGGAAAAGAGAAGAAGGGAAAAGATAGTCTTGCTGTGTATTCCAAGAGAGCTCTTCTGGAAGCTGTTCAAATGACTGGAGGCTAAAATAGGAGAGTGAGAAAGAATACCTGCATGGGACTGGAGGCAGTGATCATTGGAAGTGCAGAAGTACAGAAACTGAAGAGCCAAGGTATCATGCAGGTGGTGGAACCCACCAAAGAAGCTGGGAGTCTTAAAGCAGAAGAGACAAGAAACAGTGGAGAAGCCATAACAGAAAGCAAAAGGGCGAAGTCACCATCCTGTGTGTGCCACTGGCCATCAGGCTTGGACTCATTCAGTCTTGTGAGAAAGTTCTGAGACCTCCCCGGAGCCAGTCTCCTGAATTGCCTTGCTCCAAGAGTTGCTCCTGTCATACTTCTCTGTAGTCTGTTTTTGCCTTGCCTCCAAACAGATATGGCACCAAACCCATGTCCTTCCTGTGTTGGGGAGGAGCCTCAAACAGCTTCTGAGAGCTGAGGGAGGTGGACAGATAAGAGGAAGCACAAGAGTTTCTGCACAGGCAGGGCATGGTTCTGCAGCGCTGTGGCTAAGCTGCTGGCACAGAAATACACAGCTGAGTCCTTGGGTTCTGCCGGCTGAATTTTCAGGGTGGAGGAGGATGCACTAAGCATCTCAGCTGAGAACCGCCCTTTGATCATCCCTGAATCATCTATGGGTTGCTGGTTATTAAAGTAAATCAGCAGTTCCAGACTTTGCCCCATGAACTGTCTGTACCAGAAAAGTGCGGTATGGCCTGAAATAGGCTTGCAGCTCAAATTTACTGCTTGCTCTTTCCCTGTCACCACGTGCCTTGGTGTCTGGGTGACTCCAGCATCTGTAGGTTGTAAGAAAAAGAAACAGAATTAGGGATCAAAATAAGGCACATATTTAGAGTCATAACTATCAATGTTCAAACATACAAACATGCAGATTCTTTACTTGGGCAGCCTCACCTGCTCCTAGGAAACAAAGGACCACACAGCAAAGGACACTGGTGACCATAGCAGGGGCAAGAGGAGGCCAAACCCTCTGTCTCAGGCTTTTGGAGCATGAGCAATGAGGCAGAGGATTCTAGGCCCTTTTGTCTCCCCAAGTGGAGGCCGGCTTAGAAGTGACATCACTGCCTGTCACAGCTCAGAGGACTTCCTTCTGCAGGGAAACACTGACCCTCTAGCTAAGATGGACTGAAATTAATCTCATCTGCTCCAGGACGTGGTTGGCTCGTTCAAAGACATCAAACACCTCCATCACCTGTTACCACTCATAGCCCCTGCACTGCGGGAGCCATGAAACACTGCATTTCCCCTCTACCCACCCTGACGTATCACGTATCACACTGCCTGCTGGACATTCCTCTTGGATGGACCAACAGCACCTCAAAGTCTGGACATTAGAAAATTGCTTTCTAAATCTCAAGGACTTCATTACCCCTCTCACTTGGCAATGCTTACTTCCCAGACACACAAAAACAAAGTGATGCTTTTTTTCAGTTAGACCTGGCTCCAGATCACTCTTAGAAGCCTTTGGATGCGGGTTCTCATCATGAAAAAGCCAAAACTTTCCCTGGGAAGAGATGGGGTGGTAAAAATTTTATTCTCACTGAAGACTACAGACTGATGACCTTGTGCTGATCCTTCGTAGCCCAGAACACAGTGCCAGGTCAAATTCTCTTATTCTTTCAGGCACTGGTGTGGACTGAGCGGGAACAAATTGGACTTTGACTTTCCATGGGGCATCTCAATAAAGCAGTGTGCAGTGAGTCCAAGTCCTCTCACTTTCAGTAAATGTTCAATGATTAATAGCTCACTGTCTGTGTAATAAGGCCACCAGGCCTACAGTTAACTCTGTCTGGGCGGGGAGCAGTTAACCCTACCTGGTAAGAATTTGGAAGGTGTCCTGGTATCCAATACAGTTTTTGTTCACAAAGGTCATAGAACAAACTCGCTCCACCTCTTTGCTGTTGGCATGCAGACACACTCTTCTAGTCCCCTGAACTGGTGAACATGTCAAGGCAGCAGAGAGAAATGGGTGACTGGCTGACTTGGAAGTTAAAAAGCGCAAGTTTCATAATCATAGAGAATTCAAAGTGTTTAGTCTGTGTTTTCTCACATTTTGGTCCCTGAACATCTCTTCAAATGTGTGTTTTCAGGATCTGTGGCATCCTGAGACCCATCCAGGAAAGAGGGAGAAGCTGCCAAGAGGAATTGGTAGCAGGGCATGCCGCAACCAGCACATAGAAAACTGTCAGTCAGGGAACAGTTCTAAGACGGAGATTTGTTTTTACCTGCATTCAGGACTAGTTTCCGCTAGGAGATAAAGAATCATAAAAGAAAGAAATTGTGAGATCAGATCAGCGTATAGTCATAGCATCTCTTTCAGTTACTGTTCTTCTAGGAGTGCTCTGGCACCATGGCTGGCAACTAAAAGACACAAAATGGCCCACAACAAGATAGTAACTAGGTAAGTCCAAGGCCACATGAGAAGCTGAGAAGTAGCTTGCTGTCCTTCGCATTGTGACAAAACAGAGATCCATGGCAGGTGGAAATGACATCCGAATGGATCATCCACAACAAAACACCCTCAGAGATGCCCCAAAGCTGCGCATATGGTACTTCTACTTTTAAAAACTCCTTGCACGGCCCTAGGGAAGATCAGTGTAAGTCATCAGGCTTTTATTTTATCAATTCAAAGCTCTTTTCTCAAATCTGATATGTTCCAGGTTTTGAAGAGTATTTATTTCCATTACAGCATTTTATTTCTAATGTAATCCTGCACATTTTAGATCCCTCTGCTATTATGTAACACTTTAAGAAAGACTAAGCTGATTTTTTAAATGCTTAAAGTGGTTCTTCAGTTTGCCTTATTTGTTCTATACTAACTAGTAGCGTTAGCAATATTCACTGAATTTTGATACTGAATAGCACTTCATTTTCTACTGGTGTCTTGGCCTAGGCTATTAATCTTCGTAATATATTCTGCTAAACTTTACTTTTATGATCTTCCCTGAGAAGAGAGAGATATGAGAGTAAAGAGGTCTGCGTCTTCTTACATAAGCTTTATTAAAACAAATATTTGCATACCTTCTATTTCCTGTGTTGTGTAGTTCTATCTAAAAGGTTTTCTCTTCCTTGTTTTTGCTCGCTTCCCCATTAGACTGCCGTAGGAGTAATAGTGTTAACAATTAATCAGGCAGGCTCTTTTCAGACACAGACTGTAGCTGAAGATCAGGGAATAATGTGAATATTTTCATTCATCTCTGTAAGTATCCCCTTTCAAAGCTGTCCCAATCATATGTAACTCTTCTTCTAGCCATAATTTTCAGAGCTGTTCCCCGATAGATTTCTGAATCTTGTCTTCCTCTTGAGAATGTTTTCAGGGTACCTGTGAGACCCTGCAGTTCTTCTTCTAAAGGGATTTCTCTGGTATCCAGTAATACTGTCTGCCTTAGTGAAAACTGAAATAAAGTTCTGTCTTTTCCATTGTTCCCACTAGAGCTTCTCATGCTGAATGCATTCCCACTTCTCTTTATACTCTTTTTCCTGGACCCAAGACCCTCCCCTTCCTGTCACATGACTAGACTAAGTCTTCTAAGATGCTAGCACTTCTTCAGCGGAAATTGTTTTCTTTAATGAAGCTACTGTTTTTATTTTTTTGTTTGAAATGAATCTTAAAAATTCAGTCCCATGGCTTTTGTGTCTGAGTCCCTCTGTTCTCCATTTATTAGCAAACTGATCTTGGGGAAATTACACATGTTCAGTTTTCTCCTCTACAAGGTGACACACTGACAAAATATTTTAATGCATAGTGGAATGTTCAAGACACAGCAAGAGCCATATAAGTGCTTTCTATTATAATTACTGTTCCTGGGATCTTGTCTTTATACTAACAAGGAAGCATTACTTCAAACCACTGTGGTGTCTCCTCTATTCTTTCTGCAAATTTAAATTCCCTGTGACCTAACACTCAAAGCACAGACATTCTGTTAATTACCCTTTAAACTTTTGCACTAATTGTGTTGATTGATTTTGCCTTTTATTGTATACACAGTCTAATTTCTTTTGCTTTAGGAGTTCTCTTCATTACATTTTTTTATTCAACTCAAAGAGTTTGACCAATTATGTTTACTACCATTCACTCTAAATTATTCACAGTTACTCATGGTTTATTCTCTTTGACCTCTTGGAGAGTCTTAGAAATAGAAATTCTCTCTTGACAATCTGCCCAAATAAGGCAATTTCAATGAATATTTTCTCATTGTCTGAAAAACTCAGTAACCTGGTACTTTTTTTCAACTTCTTACTAGTGAGCAGAGGTGGTATAATCATCTAGAGTTTCAGAAAATACCCAGACAAGAGCAATGGCCATTGTATAGCTCTGCGTATCCTGGAGGTCCCACAAACCTAAAGTTGCACTGTTAGGGTTTAAATTTAAAATGCCCCCAAGTAGTTTATGTGTTTAGACTTGGGGCTTCTAAGAGGTGATTGTATAAAGGGGATTCATTTATATATGAGCTACAGTTAAATGAGCTGCTAGTAAGTGGGGCCTGGTCAGAAGATGTAAGTCACTGGAGATGTGACTTGGAAGGCTGTGTTCTTGTCCCCAGTTCACTCTCCACCCCCTTCTTGGTGACTATGGGGTGAGCAGTTGTCCTTCACCATCCTTTTCTACCATGCTCTTTATGCCTTCAAGCCAGCCAACTACGCACTGAACTCTGTGAAAGCAGAAGTCAAAATTAACCCCTTCTCCTTTAAATTGCAGGTATTGGGTATTTGTCTAAGCCATGGAAAAGTGACTAATACATACATATTATCTAAATTACATACTCTGCTTTTGAATTAAGGAAGTTGAGATGTTAATAGGCCTGTTACTAGTCCCAAATACCCCTATTGGATATTATTAATGCATGATTAGAATACTATGAATATTAAAAGGACTTGTCTTTTTCAAATATGAAGCAATTAGATCTTTGCATTACATTTATTGGGAAGGAATCTTACTGAATTTGTTCCTATGTATCCAAGAATTATCAGTGCTGGAGAGTCAGCCTCAATAAAATCCAGTGACCGTGCTTGAAAGTCATGCAGAGGTGACTCTCAGAATTAGTCCAAAGACTTACTAGTCAAGCAGAAATTACAAATAATGTCTAACAAACATTCCCACAAACCTGCTGACTTTAAATAACCATTTATTATTATTAATAAGTCTATAGGCTGGGTAGATAGTCCTGTGAATCTTGGCTTGTTAGTCTAGATAATAATTCTGTATTGGATAATGACTTTTGAAGGCTTTATGATTTCTGCAGTATCTATTGTCATTCTCTTAGTACAGACTTTGCAGAACAAAGGTTTCCAAATTTGATGGAGGAATCCTGTATTGAAATAGTCCCAGTGGATTATAGTGGATTATAGTGGTAATAGTCCCAGTGGATTATGGAATTAAATAGAAACAAATCAGAGCTGAAGGAAATTCCTGATATCCAAAAGTATGTAAAAATAATACAGTGAGAATAATCCCTATCCATCTACATGGGCATTCATTCACAAAACCAGTACTCATCATTTCTCACTGTGAAAAAGATCCATGTTTTGCTTCATAGAAAAATAAAGTATTCAGCAGTGTCTTGAGTAATTACAAGGATTAGCTATGTTGGAGAAGATGATAGAAATTGCAGGAGCAAGAGCATAGAAAGGCATTAAATTGTGTAAGGATTTTTTCACAAGAAAATTAAGTATATTTGATTACTAAGATAAATATTATGAAGCTTCCATGGCCTAGGCCTTTAAAAATTCAAATACTTTTATCTTGTAACCAGTGGAACACCGTGTATAAATAAAACCTGGAAAGAGTGTCCTGTGTGGATTATTTCATCACACTAGTAGACTAAATTAGGTCTCTATACAGTAAAAATAAAATGAAAGTGGGGAAATTGGGATATGTTATGAGGAGTAAGGCAGTCAAAGCATCTGCACATATTTTTGCTGAGATGCCTGGTATGTGGTCATCTCCTCACTGAGCTGGCTTAAGAGAATACTGTCTATGCCGTTTGTTACAGAATAGCTGTTCCAAACACTTTTGTCTTGCATCTGTTTCTTAAGTCCGTTTATTTATTCAAAACACAGGCTTTCATTGCCTTCTTCATCTAATATCCAATGCTAAAATTTGTGGAGACTATTTCAAATAAGGTTCCTACTTTCAGGAGCTTAAGTTTAGGAAATACAAGCATTCACTCACTTATTCCATAAACATTTAATACAATCATGGGAGACAGTCTGAAAAGGATTGAAAGGAAAAACTCAGAAGGGACAAAGTCAAGAAACTGAAAAACTGGGGCTGGAGATTTAGCTCAGAGGCACAGCGCCTGCCTGGCAAGTGCAAGGTCATGAGTTCGATCCCTCGTACTGGGGGGAAAAAAAAAAGAAAAAGAAGCTGAAAAACCAATCGATGCATACATATCGTGGTGATGATATCTACATCTATCTATATCTATATCTATATCTATATTTATATCTATCTATATAGATAGATATAGACATCAAGGAGGAAGACAAGGCTGTAGGTGACAGAAGGACTGAATGAGAAGAGAGCTCTGATAGTAAAGAAATTAGTACAATAATAAAGGACAGTATCTTAACGTCATATATGTAAAGGAGCCGGACTTTAAACTGCAAAGGAAAATGAGCTGGAAGCATTAGAGAGGATCCTCAACAAGGAACATATTAAAGCCATATGCAGGGGCTGGGGATTTAGCTCAGCGGCAAAGCGCCTGCCTGACAAGCAGAAGGTTGTGAGTTCGGTTCCCGGTACCGGAGAAAAACCAAAAAAAAAAAATAAAATAAAATAAAGCCATATGCAGATAACAACTCTGTTTCTTGATATATCCACAAAACAAACTGCATTTCACTCTGTACTGTTTTCACATTGAAAGCCAGAGCACTTGAATGTCAAACAGGTCAATAAAAAGTGCAGTTTGGCTTTGGCAGGACCCACACATATCTGAGTTGCCTTGGCCATTCAAATGCATATGTCTTTGTACCAGCTGACAAGGATACCCTGAGAGGGGTTGAAAAGCCATCAGTAGGTGAGTCAGACTATAGCAGAGAGGAATTAAAAGCACTCTGGATTACAGTAGAAATTTCTGAGACAAATCAGCAGGAAAATATAGATTTGGGTGTTAAGGACATAGAACCAAGAAGAAAGTAGGACAAAGAGAAGAGAACAGGTCTTTTGGTTTGGGATGGACCGAGGTAGATCCATATTCCTTGCTCATCACCCTAGAATATGCATGTCTTTCTTTCACAGACAAGAAATCTAACTGGGAAAGGGGTCTGTTCACAGTTTACAGCAAAAAGATGGAGAGGCAGTGTAGGTCAGAAGTCATAGCCCTTATCAAAAAGTCCCACATTCAGCTGGGCATGACACCTACAGGAAGGAAGGCTGATTTACAGTGTGAACGGTTTACCTTACATGTGAAATTTGAATCCGCAGACAATTTGCAAAATACCCCTGAAACTCGTTTCCTGTTATTTCCTACCCAAGATTTCCTGCACTGTTATCTGATTATTTTCTAACTTTGTCCTGCCCCCGACCCCCATGTGGTACATGGGGATGGGGAGCAGGGACAACTGTCCTGAGGGCTGAGGGGCTGGAGAGAGAAGGGGCCACCCCAGGGTTTCTGCACTGGCTGGGCATAGTTCCACAGCACTGTGGCTGAACTGCTGGCACAGAGATACACAGCTGAGTCGCTGGGTTCCACGGGCTGGATCTTCAGGGTGGAGAGCGATGCATCAGGCATCTGAGCTGTGAAGCGATCCTTGGGCATTCCCCCTTCATTCAGAAGAGACTGGCTTCGGAAGGAAGTCAGCAGTTCCAGGCTCTGCACCATAGTTTGTCTGTACCAATAAAGGTCATTGTGGCCCAAGACTGGCTCACATTTCAAAGTTACTGCTTGTCCCCTTTTTGTTACCTCATGCCTGGGTGTCTGAATGACACCAGCATTTGTGTGCTCTGTAAAAGAAGAGAGATTAGGGAGACAGAATAAGAAGATATAGGGAGTTATCCATAGGAAACCCCAGCATGAAGATGTTAACTATTCTAAGTACTCACCTGCTACCAGGACACACAGGACCACAAAGCACAGGGTCTGGGTGCCCGTGGCCATGTGAACAAGTGTGGAACATCTAGACCAACACCCCATGAGCAGGATCACAAAGTGAGCTAAGGTGCACTTTATTCTTACCAGACGTGTCTGTCAGTGACATCATGAAGTGAGATGCATTCCCCAACTCGCAAACCCCTTGCAGAGGAGGCTGCATGCCTGGGAAGTGAATCATACAGAACTGAACTCTACCATAACTGATCCAAGATACAGATTTACATACCTGGAGGCTCTCTACAACTTTATTTGGCAATACCAAGTAATAACATTTTCTCTTCAGTACGCCTAAGCCAAAGGAGTCAGAGGTCCAGTGGACTGGGTTCATGAGAGCCGCTCAGAAGCTGTAAACCAGGAGGACTTTGCACAATACCTGTGGAGACTCCCTGGAAGCCATTCTTCCCCTGACAGTACAGGCTGTGGTGGAGCTCCGGAGAAGTCTGCAGCAGGATTCCTGCTGCCTGTGCTGACAGTTGGAGAGAGGACACTAACTGGTTGAGGGGTCCCAATGCGATGGGAGGCTGGAGAGAAAATGCTACAAAAAATGGCTTTCGCCCCAGACGGCTCACTTGATTTTTGACAGCCCTTAGGCCGTAACTACTTGTTAGATCCTTCTTGCGTATCTCCATCTTCCTGAGAAACCATTTCAAAGATACCACCATGTATTACAGCAGCCATTAATATTTTCCTACTAATCTATCTATAACTCTGTAATGTTTGTATTGTTCCTATCTTATTTCATAAATGGATCCATGTTTATTATTATGTGTTTCTACAACAACCATTGAGAATAGTTAATGATTATTCAATAGGTTACTCATGTATAGCTCTATTTATTTTCTTTAGAAGCCACTTTGAAGATACAAAAGTATAGTACAACAACTATTGATAATCTCCTACCTCTTTTGTCTGTAACTCACTATTATTTGTCTATTTGTTTTCCTGAGAAACTATCTTGTAGATAACAATATGTAAAACAATAATCATTGATAATTTCCTACCACTTTGTCTGTAACTTGGTAAGCCCTCCCCATTATTATGTTATCCTTCTTTTACTCTTTAAAATAAAAAAAAAAGCCTGTCAAATATTTCCGTAGACACCTCAAATTCTAAGTATTTCATTTTGAATTCATTGCATTTTTGCTAGCTTCTCTGCATACCCTCTTACTCCTCTCACTGGGGTCTCAATACTCCCAGTCATTCATTCACATTCAAACTACCTGTCAGTTAGTTGGGAGCTGACTTACAAGCTCCACAGGAAGAGCAAGGGTCGGAGCACGTATTGAGGGCTCCAGGGGTTGAACTGAGGTCCTGAGAACTGAGTATGCTTGGGCACTGCAGTGGAAAGCCTCTCTGAGTGTCTTTATCTTAGAGCTGTATTAAATTCCTAGAGCCCAGGGTACAAACTCTCCCACATTCTCTTATCTCCCCCCTGAAACAAGGAAGCATTGTCTTATTCTTAAAGATTAACAAATCAAATGATTCAGAACTGATTTTCATCTTACTTTTAACACCCAGCAAATCTCAGTTGTTTTTCTTTTTCTTTTTGTGCAGCTGAGGATCAAACCCAGGGCCGCATGCATGATAGACAAATATTTTACCACAGAACTGTATCCCTAGCTCACCCTTAACAGCTCTTAATCATTGACTCCCAGCCTTTTCCTTATAAGTAGAACCTGCGAAGCACCTCCATCCCTCCACCCACATCCACCCACTTCCTCTCAGGGTGGAGGTGATGGTGAGCTGAAAGAGGGCTCTGTTTCTTCAGTTGGCTAGATAAGTTATTTTCTAACAAAGAAGACTTTAAATGCATACTTTCATTATTGATACAGAGATACACTGCCCAGTCCTCTGAACTTGAGAGCACTACCAACTTTAAACAATTGTCTTAGCTACTTTTCTCTCCTTGCTGAGACAAAATACCCTACTCTCAAAGTTAAAGAAGGAAAGCTTTATTTAGCTCACAGTTTGTAGAGGTTTCACTCCATAATCAGCTGGCTCCAAGGCAGGTGGCACACAGCAGAGGGGCAACAGTTCATGGTGGCAAAAGACAACAAAAGCAACAAGAGAGTGAGACGAGCCTCTTTCCGTCCCTTATATCCTATCCAGCTTACTGGGATTAGGGCAGTGCCAATCTAATCAGTGGACTGACCCAGCATTACCCACCCTTATCCCAGCACCCTTAATCCTAGCATTGCATTATGAATCAATCACACACTCAAGATTCAGCCACCTCTAAAAAACCCCTAAGACTGCATGAGGCTTTGGGAAGGAGACATCTAGACACAAATCATAACAGCAACAAATACTCCGTAGTCTGGCTGGTGTTGCCTCAGTCCTGGTTTCCCTTGAAGGCACTGGCCTCTTGCAGTGTCTCTTGGGCCCAGAATGGACAACTGTGGTCATCACTGTTTTCAAAAAAATCATTTGTTATTTTCATTACCAGGTGCCTAGGTGGGAGTAGGTAGAATGATGGTTCTCCAGATACACACATCTAATCCCTGGAGCCTGTGAATGTGTCATTACATGGCAAAATGGAATTAAAGGTCTCAGTGGCATTAAAGTGGCTGATCATCTGACTTTGATAGAGGGAAATATCCCAAGATGTCCATGTAGCTCTGATGGAATCACAAGGGTCTTACAGTGTAGAAGAAAAAGGAAGAAGAGTTGGAGTCATGCAGTGTGAGAAAAGATTTCACCATTCAACCTGTCATTGTTGGCTTTGGAGATGGAATGAGGTGACGAGCCAAGGTGCTGTTGACCTCTGAAAGGACAAAAACCCCAGATTCTCCTCTCACCTACAAAAGAAAATTAGCCCTGCCAATATTTTGATTTCAGCCCAGCAATTCCCATTTTGGATGCTGACCTCCATAATTATAAGACAATAAATCTGCATTGCTTGAGGCAAACAAGTTAGTGTCAATTTGTTGTAGCAGCAATAGAAATCAAATACATTGTACTATCCATAGAACTCACAGGTGAAAGAGGTAGCAGCTACATATGAAATACAGGTGGGAAGAATGAACTTGAAGCCAGGCAAAAAATTCCTATCATTGCCCGGGGACACACAGGCACCAGCTACACAAGGTGAGGTGTAAATTGTGGCAACTCCCTGGTCACAGCAGAAGTTCTAGGAGGAGAAGACGCTCTTCAGACCTGTCTGATGAGTGGACTTTGTCACTGTGACTGTCTTCTCCCTGAGGCCAGGGTCCCTGTAGTCCAAGTTAGCACGCCCATTTCTCCTGCTCTAGCTTCTCCATTCAACAAAGCAGGCAGAGCTGGCGTGGTCTGGTTTGAGGTCAGGGTCTCGCAGGCTTTTCTGACACAAATTGCTTCTTTTCTTTTTGAAGCACAGAATGCACAAGATGCACTTTCACAACTGCCTGTGGCTCACTTCTTAACTGCGCTCAGAGGTATTCCTACAGCAAGCTCACCTGCCAGTCAAACTCCACTCGAAGCACAATTTAGAGCAAAACTACAACAGAGGAAGGAAGGATGTTATCTAATCCCTTCATTCCAAGCCATCATTCAAGACATCTGCAAATCCACTCCTTGAATCTAAGCCTGACCCCAGGGTTTCCCTTAACCATTCTGCAGGGAGTGCTCAGAGCCGCTCCAGACTCTAGACAAAAATGAAGCCACAGTGCCCCCTATTGGTCAGTGCACCAAGACACCGCAGATGTGCTGTTTCTCCAGAACAGGATAACTGTGATCTGCTTTAGTTAGTGAGCAAATATGGCATTTTATGATTCATTGGTGTGAGAGAATCAATAAACAGTGGTAATATTATTGTGGTCTAGAATAGAACCACTTAAGAGACGCACATAGGAGTCAGAGAAGTGGAGGTTAAGTCAGTTTTAATATTGCTACCAAGCACGGCTGGATATGGGCTATCACATCACTGGGTTGCAATTAATCCCATTCTCTCTTCCCTGTGAACTTCAGGGTGACCCTCAATGGAAAAGAAAGTCCCTGAACCACTAATGGTAGTGCATGTTGAGAAAACAGGAAAAACGGCCCTATTTTCTATGTAGCCAGCAAGAAAGTGAGAAAATGAAGATAGATTGAACTAAAATTACAGCGTGGCCAGGTAAGTCACTTACTTCCTCCTAATAGAGAAAATTTTGCAAGAAATAGCAAGCTTACAGCTGAAGTATTACTTTGGAGACATCCTGCAAAATGAGGACTGTGGATCAAGTGTGTCAGCAGACTTTAAGTTGGGAAAGATAGTCACAGATCAGATACTCTGTTAAATTCTAACGGCTGCCTCTGGGTATATTTATAAAACTCACCATGCATGTATATGACAGAGTGGAAATTGAATTCATGCTGTGCTCCTTCTGTGCTCTCTGACCATGTCTGAGCTTTCACTCTCTGTTCTGTTTTCCATCTTGCCACATGGTCCAAGGAAAGTTATTCAAGGAACATAAACAACCACATAAAAATACTCTTGTAACAAAAAGCCCAAAATTGGATGTGTCAGTTTGATCATACGTCCCCTTTAAGTTTTTAAAAGCTCCTGCAATTGAAATAAAAATTTAACATTTCCACACCATTTGTGTTAAATGTCAAAGGAATCACAGACTAAGACTCTAGCATTAAAATCCGAAGAAAATTAAACTCCAAATAAATTTCTTTGACTCTAATCTCAGTAATTACAGATGAAGGCACAAGTTGTTCCATTGTTATCTAAATAGTTGGGTAAAATTTAAAAAGCAGCATAAAAACTTCAGATAATTAATGTTCTAAAGATATAGTGAGAAACTTGGCTGGAGTCTTAAAAGGAAAAGGCTGGTGAGGTGAGCAACGTTATCTCTCCAGAGGCATTTGCTAATGTCAGCTCAGCCCTTACAGAGCTGACTCACAGGCCAGCGGGTGAAAGTCAAAGAGTAGGACGTACAAGGGTGAGCACTGACGTACTCTCATAGCTACAATGAGCCAGAGGTAAACCTCTGTCCAGGGGACCCAGGACACCCCAAGCCTTTCACTCTGATTTGGAAATCTTCAGCTTGTTCCTACATTAAATATTTGACAGAAACATAATTCTCTCTGGAAGAAGCTATGTCCATCCTCTACCAAAAATTATATCTGCAACTCTAATGTGTGGTGCGACACCAAAGATAATCATATTCCATAGAAAGGTGTAAACAACCAGGACTGAGAAGCAGCGCAAAAATCATGAACAAAAATATCACACAGAGGTCTCAGAGGTGAAAAAA